GAGCCAAACAAAAGAAAAAACTTCAACACAACCGACAATCATGCTTGTTTTACTGGAAATGATCTGTCCCTATTAACTAGATTTCAAGTTATTACCATCACTGGTTTTTATCACTGTGTTTTAAGATTTGGTATCTGGCCTTGAGACAATGGTTTTTAAAACCCAAGCACAATCCATTTAGGCAGATATCTAAATTCACAAAAAGCCTCAATGACTTCAGGCCTGAAACTGTGAAAGTCTCTTCAAAGACACAGTGAACTCTCATTTAAGCTAGAAAACTCCGTAACCCTATCCCTACCATCAGCTAACACTGTACTGAACATCAATTTGAATTGCAAATAGCTTTGTAGTATTATTTACAGTGCAGTGACCTTCTTTTAGAAAGCTTTTCCTTACAGATATTAAAGTGTTCACAACTAGAAGGTATTTTATTTGATGCATCTCAAGGTATGACAGGCTTATGAGAGGCATCAGATTAGAAAGTATAAAATATAAAGAAGCTGAACAACATAATTAGCTTGTGTGTGCAGTTGTTTCCTCTAAAAGCATGAAGAAAACCCAGACTTTTCATTTCTACTTTCACATTTTATTAAAAAATACTTACTACAACAGACTTTCTCTGAAAATTTATGTTGTTGATACAAACTACCTGGTGAGTTGTGCTGAAAAAAAAAAATAATTTGAAATAAGTAAGGTTTGGTACAAAAAACAGCATTTAAAATAATATTTTAACCCAGTTTAAAAAAAAAAAACAAAACAGAGCTCATACAAGATGTATGTACATATAAATAAATACTGAATAAAGTACATACTTATATAAGAATTATTCATGATTTTCTAAATCTCTTACATGGTCCAAAACAAATAATGAATAGAAGTTGCAGACAAGGTCAGAAAAGTTCCAATAACATCAAATATAGTATCATACTAACATGAATATTACTAGTAATACAGAAAGATAACAACATCACTTTTGAACACCACGTAACAGTATGTTAAAGTATAGTATTACTAATGGTATTGAATCAAGTTCTAACAGTTTAGTGATGTGCAGCATCAGGAACAGCATGCAGCTGTAATATTTGCAGACCTGTGGAAAATTTAGCTGGTGAGTTGACTCTCACACATAATTTATGTAAATAGGTACTATACATGAAAAAAGACTTGTGCTTTTACTATGTGCTTTTACAATTAGTATATCATAAGAATTTATTATTTAAAATAATGGCAATATATTAATCAAGACAGGTATCTTAAACACGTCAAATGCATTTGCTTAATTTTGAATTGACATTACTAGAACTCCTGGTAAAAAACCCTCTGATTTAAAAAATATGAGATAAAATAATAATTCATTTTTTAAAAAAACTCTAGATTTCTACATTTTTTTGTAGTAGGTGGCATCTGCACCATACTTTACAGTAGTGCTATTCATGACTCAAGATATAACCTTGTAATAATTCAACTTATCTCCCATAGCATACATTATATGCATGTACTCACATAACCTGTGCATTAAAAAGTAACTTGCTTTCAGTTGAGCAAGTTCAATAGAATTTCCTATAACAGAACGATAATATCTAGTATCCAATGATGGATTCAAACATTACCTACACATTAAAATGTATATGATAACAAGAATGATTCTATTTAGAAATACATTTGTGTTACAGATTTATAAAGAAGTCATGGAGGTATAAACAGAAATACATAAAGACCCACTGAAATCCACAACCGCTTTACAGCTTGGTTACAACCAAAATAATGAATGTGTAAAAATGGTAATTTGCTCAACAAAGCTGCTTGCTGCAAATGCAAGCAGGTTTTTTATATATAGAAAAAGCCCTTAAGTCAAAAGGGCTTGACACAGCAGTAAGAATGAAACATGGTAGCATGATCTGTAGTGTTGATATTGTGTGGAGAGATCTCTGAGGTCTGAAGAGCACAATGTAAATATCTTTGCAAGATGAGACTGCATGGTTGACAGACTCACTGTCCATGAGTGAGTCCATTTACACAATCATACACCTACAGCAAACATTTTATGAATGTGAGCTACACCGTAAGCAACAGTTCCAACCTTTTCAAGTAAGTAACTACTGATCAGCCTGTAGCCCATTTCAAATGTGCACTGGTCGCAAGCATAGCAACTTTAAAAAACATGGATACTTATAATTTATAGGGTCTTGGGCTCTCAAATCCTTTGTCTCCTTTCTTCCTGTTCATCCTGAACAGCAGCACTAAACACACACTGCTGACGGTCAGACTGGCATCATCACCATCCTCGCCTGATGGGTCCTTCGGTTTTTCCCTGCGTCAGGTCGTATTTGATCACTCATCTCCCCAGCGGATCTGTGACTCCCAACAGTCAGGCATCATCAGCTCGAACGAGAACCATAGTTACAGCACAAACAACCCCCAGTCTGTCTACAGAACCTCGTACGAGTAGAGCACACAACTCCTCCCTCCACGGGGGGTACGATACCCGTTCGAGGCGCTGCCTGCTCCCTTTCCGCAGGCAAGGTAAGTCACCGGCTCAGCGGGCAGCAGACGCGGGAGCTACTGAATGAGGGAGGCCGCGGCCGAGGGGTCCGCGCTCCCAGGGCAGCCGGCTGGAGCAGCGCCCTCCGCTGAGATGCGGGAGCGGCAGCGCCGGCGGCGAGCGGGCCGGAGGGGAGCGCACAGCCCCCCGCGACCCGGCCTTATCGTCGGTGGGGCCGCGGGCGCTGCTCCGGGAGGCGGCCGGGCTGCGGGCTCCTGCGGGTCCTTCTCGTCCAGGGCAGCGGGCTGGCGCCGGCCGGCATAGAGGGCGGCGGCGGCACCCTCAGCGGCGGCGGCACCCTCCCTCAGCAGCAAGCCCGCCGAGGCCCGCCGGCGCTCGCCCGCTCTGCAGCCGCGGCCATTTTGCCAGTAACCTTTGACCCGCGGCGGTTGAGAGGTCACAGCCCGCTTAATGGAGCTTTACTTCCGGAAGGATGGAAAGTCTTGCAGAATCTTGCTTCCCGAAGGGTGGTGTACTTGTGTCAGAGGCGGCCATAGGCACAAAAAAAAAAAAAAAAAAAAAAAAAAAAAAAAGTACCACCCCCCCCCCCCCATACGCATTTAGGGCCGGGTCACGTCGCCGTGCGCGTGCGCCCCGCGGGCCTCCCGCGCAGGAGCAGGGAGGCCGCGACTGGCGCCTGCACACGCAAAGCGCGGGGGGCGGGGCCTGGGGGCGGTGTTAAGGCGGGGGCGGTGGTAAGGCGGGGGCGGGGCCTGGGCCTGGGGGCGGTGGAGCCGCTTCGGTTGCGGGTGAATCTGGGAAGCTCGGGTACCGTGTAAGGCTCAAGCCCGGAAAACAACTGTTCGGTTCCGAGTTACAGTCAGGGGTTTATTTCAGGACAGGGGAGCGGCAGCCCCGGCGCTGGTTGCCGCCGTGAGGGCGGCCGCCCCTCTGCCAACAGCGCGGGGTTAGGAAACTGCAGCACAGGGGCCGGAGACACCCCCAGCTGCCGCTGCTAAACCTACAGCCTGTGCCCACTACCTACATTTGCTCTATTAAAGCTCCGGTGACTGACAAAGACTTAAATCTACTTGAACGCACAAACTGAGGATACCTGAGCTTACTCCGGGGCCGGGCTCAGGGGCGTACTCAGCACAGACTGGCAGGAAAACACTAAAACACATCAGCGTTTTGAGTCAGGAAAGGATTTAAGACAATAACAACGCTGCTAGAAGCATGGCACTGAGCCACAACGTGAGACTGGGTCCAATGACCTCTTCTTTCCCACCCTGAGTGGGCTGTGGAGTAGATACAGTATCAGGAGTGTCACTGAAATCGGGAATGAAAACTACCCAAGGCTGGGCTTAGCGTTAACGAGCTGGCATTGCTTTATTCGGCCAGGGACATGAGGGAATCATTCCACCTAACATGTCCACCGTACCTTACAATAGCAAAGCATGTATCACTGTTACATATATATTAAAAGTTCCTAAAACTCATTATTTACATAATTATTACACATACGGTTTAAGTCTGTGAGGGGCATCCATGGGGGCTGTTGGTGGTCTCTGGTGGTATTTGGAGAGGAGCCCTTCTTGAACTTTGTCTATACTTTGGAATTGGCCTTTCTTTGGTTTATGTCTGCACTTTCTTATCTCCTGCCTAGCTTCAGCTAGTTCATTATTTTTCAGAGGGCCTTAATCTTCAAGGACGAGGGTTTCTGATTAGGAGTCTCCCAATTTACACAAAGAGCCTCTCCATTTACGCATTCACCAGGAGGTGTTTATCATACTTGCCTAGCTCATGGACCTCTGTGCAACCAACAACATGTTGCAGGTGTTCGACTGATTGCTTAAGTTCTTAGGCTGCCCTAAACAAATTTTTTTTTCTCCACCCATTTTCCACCAGGAGGACACAATATGAAGCTTCTTCATAAGCAAGTTTTGATTCATCTATGTTAAAATAAATGCTTGCGTCACAGCAGTTAATGGAGTTAGACCTTTCAGCAGCAGCAGTTCTTGAAATTTAGAAAGCAGCATCTCTTTTTCAATGTCTGACAAACTCATCAGCACTGTGGATGTGCAGAATGATTACACATGCAAAGATTGATTGAGATGAACCTGAATCACTACCTCAGCACTGTGATACAGCACTGCTCATCCAATACTTAAATTCTTAACCTGTTTCACAAACAAAACCCAATGTAAATACACACTGCTTGTATGAGGACTATTAATTGTCCTGTGTATTTTAACTACAGAACATTCTGTGATGCAATCGAAGTTACTTCCAAGGCTTTCACGTGCATATGAGCTGAGAGGGCACTTTCTGGTGCTATTAAAAGACCACAACTGCTGAAACCACAGCGAACAAGGCAATTCTTCCCAGCAGAGAGCTACTGTAAGCCAGCTGAGTCTCTCCACAACTGGGTCCAACACCACACTTGTAAACTTCAGAAATGTGGAGCACAGCAAACTGATCTTTCATCAGTGGGCAAGAATAAGCAGAGCTCAGGAAGTAGTTTTTAATCATCTTTTTATCTATAACAACATTTCATGGATGCACACATCCATCTTAAGAGTTACATTTGATTTATAGTTTCTTTCCCTGCTCACCCTACATTTGGAGTGCTAGGAGTTCCGAGGTTTTTCATACCTTACATCTGAGTTTGATGCAGCAAATGCTTTTTGTATAAGAAAATCCCAACAATTGTTATGCTTAAAAAAAATAAGTCTGAAAAGTGTCTAATATTAAACTCTGGTTCACTGACATGCAAACAATCCTTCTTAATGAGTACAAAATTTCAAATTTCAGGCACTCCAACTTTATGACAGTACCATAAAAAAAATCCTGTTTCATTGCTCTACACAGAATATTCCACCCCAAGTTTTCAAGAAATTTTCTATATGCAGTTACTTGCCATAATAAAGGTTTTTTTTAAAAAAATCGTATTACTAAGTTTTACAAGCTCTCTTTAAAAAGCAAAGGTGGTCTTCTGTAAAACATTAATTTTACCTCAGCTACATTCTAATGGCAGTTTAAAGGAAGTTCATAACACAGTGCCCAACTATTCTCCAGTATCTTCACACTCAGTTGCAATTTGTGTTTTTGTAATATTTAAAAGGCAATTCTTAACCAGTGTTCAAGTGTCAAGAGCTTGTGCCAATGTTATTCAGAGACATGACCACAAAAAGAACCACCTTCCAAAATTAAGACTAGTGTATAGTCTCAGCAAGGAATTTGTTCATGAGCTTGTCAAGATCTGCAGTAATGAAAATGTCAACACTGAAACGAAATCTTTAAGAATGCTTGCTGATGACCAAAAGACCAAGTATTCCATTTGTTGAAATCAATACAATTATTATCAAGGACGTTTTCATTTTTAGTGTCAGACTTCAGTTTATGGACAGACAGCTAAAGCGTATTCAAGAAGTAGCCGGACTCCTGGCATAACTACAGACACAAAGGAAAAAAGAAGGAAGGTGGGCAAGGGCTGCTGACACAATAGTTTCTTAGAAGAGGCAAGTGCCCTCATAGTCTACTTAGCTGAGCAGAAAGCAGAACTCGTTCAAGAAGCTTAGCTGTTTACTCAGGAACACTGTATGGTGTTGGTTGACAGCTCCTTCCCCTCAGAGGAAGGAAGAAGCAACATTCACCATTACTCCATTCAATATTCTTAGTTCTTAAAACAATACTTGTTATGAAATGGGTCTTCTAGAATTGTAAACTTTAACACCATTCTGCATTGAGGAGCGAGCGTATTTTGTCAGAAGAGCACCAACTGTCTGCTTCTCTGCACATAAGTCTCTATAGAGGAAATAAAGCAGATGACATTGGCATTAGAGACATTCTCAGACAAAATGAATCCATGAAATATTTGTAAATATAGCAATAAACTGGATAAGGGTATTGGGGGAAAAAAAAACAACCAACCTACTTTTACTGTCACATAATGCTTTAAATTACCTAACGTTTAGAATTTGGCTTGCCATTTAAGCAAAAGGCAAAACTATATTATTTTATGCATTATTATATAGGACAAGAAGAAACAGCCTCAAGTTATGGCAGGGGAGGTTTAGATAGGATATTTGCAAAAATTTTTTCATTGAAAGGATTGTCAAGCATTGGAACAGGATGCCCAGGGAAGTGTTGGAGTCACCATCCCCAGAGGTGTTTAAGAGATGAGTAGATGTAGAGCTTAGGGACATGGTTTAGTGGTGGACTTGGCAGCATTAGGTTTATGGTTGGACTCAATGATCTTAAAGGTCTTTCCCAGCCTAAATGAGTCTATCATTTACTTCAGAAACAAGGATTTTGCTTTTTTAGGGGGGTTGGATGGGTTTTATTATTGCTGTTCTCTAAAGGGCTTTCAATCTAGCAAAACAGTTAACTTGGAACTACTTAATAATATTACAGTAAATTTCAAGCCTGTCATAAATATTTGATACAGTTACTTCTGCGTTACCATCTATATCTACTCACATGTATCCTGGAAAGGCCTTCCAGATAGCACTGTGGTGTAAGTGTTAACCACCAGAAGAACAAAGGACACAGTACAGGAAGGACTATTACTCTATAGTTCTTGAGTTATAAATGTGGAGACTGATTATAAACATCAGGAGGTTTATCTTTTGAGTTAAGTCTGCCTCAATCAAATAAGACAGAGTTATCACTCATTTAAATTTAGTAGGATCAGCTTTTTACACAAGTTTAAATCCGACAAATTACAGTTCCCAGGGGTGGAGATTCTATTCATACAAAATTCATATTAATTTAAAGTGGAAAAAAGCAATCATAGCTGATAAGAAGTCTGCTATGCAAAAAGGGATGAAAACAACACTAATTGTATTTTAATAAAATATATCCTTACTGTATATAGGGGGTAATATCCACTTCTGTCCACTTTTCCCGTATGCTGAATAAACTGTTGAATCTTTCCTGGTTGTCTTCAGGTAAGTCTTCTACTTTTAGCAGAAAGATGGTCTCTGGTCTTGAGGTTCTATCCACAAGAGCCAAGCCCTGTAAATCAGCAGAGAGAAAATGTTAATTAACAAAACAATGAAACTTCCTTCTTTCTGGCTGCAACCCATACAAGTTGTCCTTTGCACCTCCAAAGCCTTCTAAAGCTGCACTATCAGAGGCAAAATGAAAAAGTATTATAAAGATGCTGTTTTACAGGCAGTGTTTATCATTTCCTTCACGACAAGGAAGGAGAGGGAAATCCATTAAGTCCTAACATCCATGTCTCCTCTGAGTGGAAGGATTTTCATAGTGCTTGCTACTCTATTGGCTGTCACTACAGCCTGCTTGACAACAGTTTCTGCTTCTGTTCTAGTTATGTTTACAAGCATTAACTGTACAGCTCCAACTTTTCTTCAGTGGAATATGTCAGACTTCCAGAAACCCAAATTGTCACGACTCCAGGCTACCAATGCTCATAGTGGATGTCATAAAGTGTACTTTAACTCAAAAGCTGACAGAAATAACACAATCAATCCCCATTAATCAATAAAATCTACATATGACACAAGTCAGTTAACAGCCTACTCGTGAAAGAATCTGTATTTCTTTATGTTTTTACCTTAAGCTGATCAAGCCTCGTTGTCATTCCTTCAGGGACACTTTGTTGCCAGACTTCTTGAAACTCTGACAGATTGAATTTAACTGCATTTTGCAAAAGCATTTGTGCGATAGCTCTGCATATTTTATCTTCATGCATTTCAAAGTAAACCTCCCCTGCTGAGAAACAAAGAACAGGTTATCTTGGGTTCTTGCTTTCTGATAAAAAAAAACAAAACACAGAACAGCCTTCTATCTTCATTCTCTTCTGCAGTCTTCTACAAACCAAGTATCCTCTGTTTTTTTTTTTTTTTCCTCATGGAGCAACCTGACTTGGTATTACTTTGGATAAATGATGGTATCTTCTCACCCTCAAGAACAAATTAAGCAGAATATTATGTGTGTGAGCAGCACTGTCCAAGCTAACCTGTTCATTCATATGAATAAATGTATTTGCCTCCTGTCTTTTCCCCTTTCACAGTAACAGTATTTCTCCTACAGCTTTCATTCCCATTTCTCAGTGGCTTTTATTAAAGTGTTTGCTGTCTATGGTTGAACAAATAATCAAAACTTACACTTCTTTATCATCTTATACTATAAGGATGACTAAAGAGAATGGGAATTTATTTTCTTTCACACTGACTTGGCTAAAATTCTCTGAACAACATCAAGCATGAACACTTCCTTCCACTTTTTCAGTCATCTTGACTTCCTGCAATTCAAACTTGTTGCTTTTGCAGCCTGACTAAATATCCTAGGACGACAATCTGTGTCACTCCAACTACTTTGCTATGTCCTTTACAGCTGCATGCAACTGCTACTTCAGTCAAAGATGAGATGAAAGTAACTGCAGAAGAATTTAGATTGAGATTAGGGCACTGAAATATTTTGTCTATGTGTGAGATGGGCAATGGAGATTTAATCAATACAATCGATGGATCTTGTGGTGCAGTTCAAGGGACCAAAAGCAAATGTCTACTTCAGGCAAGCTGAGTTCAGGAAGATCTACATGCTATGACTATTCACATCTGAGACCTCCTAAGGTATGTAAAGAGAGATTCCATCTGAATTTTACCAGTGATCTGTCTTTAATCACAAAATTATGGCTTGTAGGCACCTAATAAATCACTTCAGGTACCTCTGATAGTTTCTGATTTTTCCCTAGTGTCTGGTACAGTTTAATAGTCCTTTTTCCTATGAAACTTTCTATAATAATTTTACTGATTTTCAGCTCACTGCTCCCTCTTTTTACTGGCATTGTACTAAATTCATTTGTTTGGGTCATCCTCACAAACTGCTTTACTCATTAATAACTATTTCCTTTATGCAAATATGCAAAATTTAAATATGCATGATTTCCCAAACTTACCATCATCAGTGTATTTCCTTCCATAGCTTAAAAGAATATGTTCTATCATCTCTCTGAAAAAAAAAAAAAAAAAAAAAAAAAGAAATTAAGGTTTAAAACTGTTCATTAGGACATTACAGAAACAGTTACCAAGAAGATGAAGGAACGGGTAAAGTAAAAAATCAAGGAAAATGGAGGATGGGACAAGTCTTCATGGCTGAAATGAACAAATTGATAAAAACTTAGAAGTAAGTTAAAACAGGACAAAAGGGGACAAAAAAGTCATAGGGAATTTATTCAGCATGTCATCTCCAAAAGTCTCTTCCACTTTCTAGTTATAACTAGCAAAGACTAAAAGGTTTAAGGAGAATAAGGAAAAGACTCTTGCAATGTCACTTCTTTCCAATGAGAAGTGATGCAAGCCACAAATTTGGCAGTTAATTATCCCTTACTGAATAGCAGGCATTTTTCTAGACCCCTGGCATAAAATTACAACCAAACTGCAGACACTAATACTAAAGCAAGATTTCTTTTTGAGCCAAAAGCCAAATAAATGGAAAACGCTACCTATTGTAAACTTCAGACTGCTTGAATGGTAATCTTAAAATATTTAATGACTCCAAATGACAGTACAATACAATCAACTTTTAAGATCTGAATTCAGTATTACACCAGAAAAATATACCACCACCTCAGACATTATGCAAAAGGTAAACCAAACATTTTTGGCTAGCTTCAGAACAAGTATTTCAAGATGGTCAGCAATTTCTGGCTTAAGTAAATGCTACTTCCAGCATTTATGAAACAGCAGCAATGTTTCTACTATTGAATCAATGGAAATATTACCAGTAGACACTAAAATCAGTTTACTAACCTGTCTAAACTACTAATGCCCTTGTATATTTTAGAACCAAAACAAAAAAAATCATTAACACCATGGTAACTGGAATCTAGAGTTATAAAACTATAATGCTAATAAATAATTAATAATGATTGCAATTAGTAATAGTCAATAATTATTGTAGACAATTTTAAGTACTAAAAGTAATTGCTTACATGGGCTCTAGGGATCCAAGTTCCTCAAGGCAGGTACGTAAAGGAACCTTACTTAAAGGCCAGGACTCTGAGTCTATTAGCTGAGTCACGTGATTCAAGAGTTTCATCTCATAGTCAAATTCTAGAATTCTCCAATATCCTACCAAACAGAAAACCACAAAACAGCATTAGAAGGAAAACATCAACAGCTTAATTCTATTCCCCCGAAGATACATCACAGGTGTCTGGACATTTAGGTTGCACTTTTACAAAGTACAGCAACAGCATTCTGTCCTTTTCAGAATTAAAACTGAGAAAAAGAACAGAATAGTAAGAGCAAATGTCAAGGAGAAAGAAATTAAATCATCACAATTATTCATAACTTTTTATGTAGATTAACTATCACATATACAAAGACACAACAAATCCCATCCCAAAATGAATCAGACCTGGAAAAACTAGTAATTAATTCAGACACAGAAATTCAAGAACAGAACTGGCTGCACTGGCCCTGCAAAGTGACAGTTCAGGTTCAGCCACAGAAATCCAGATGTGACAAAGCACAGCCCTGGTACAATGGTGATGTGCAGCTGTAAATGACGTGGAAAGTCACCTGTGAGATTGTCCTCACCTACCTCATGGGACCGTATAGAGAAGACGGAGCCGAACTCTTCGCAGTGGTGCTCAGTGATGGGACAGGAGGCAACAAGCACAAGTTGCAACAAGAGAAATCCCAGCTGGGTATCAGGAGAATTTTTTTTCCCCTTTTCGTGCAACCTCCATCCTTGGAAATGCTCAGAACTGGACCAGCCAAGGCCCTGAGCAGCCAGCTCCAAGTTGGCCCTGTTCTAAAGTGGGAGTTTGGACCTAATAAACCCCAGAGCTCAGTTCGCCATATATTATTCTAGGACTTGCTGTCATCTGGTGTCCAGGTGAGGGTTTGGCCAAGTACAGGATGAGTAGGACCCATCCTAAGGTAAGGCACTTGTTCCAGCCTTGCCTTACATGGCAGGGAGACTTCTGAGATAAACCCAGTTTGGGAGGAACAAAGACTGTGAAAGGGCTGGGGTTATCTAAGGATCAGCTATTTTTGCCTCTAGAGCTGCAGAAAGCAGTACCCACTCATCTGTGAAGAGGGTAACCAGTCAAAAAATATTTATGCTATGGATGCGATACTCTGATGCCAGTGTTTGTAGAAGCAAATAAGGAATTACCCTGGGAAGAGCCAGACTGGTCAATGCCTGCTCGGTTTTATCCTTTTGACCAGCTTCAAAGCAGCAGAGGATATAGGAAATAATGAAGCAGATCTTAGTACTTTGAAGTAACTTGCACCTTGGAAGACAAGTATGTAGAATGGGCCTTAGAAAAAGAAGACATGGATATTTGGGGAAAAAAAAAAACAAGCAGGGCAATAATATTCTTTAGAGATTAATACCTTCAATTTTGCAGGCATCTATAACCTGCAATTGGTGCAGTATTTCTTCTTCACTTGCTTGAATCAGACTTAACAAATCTTCTGTTGTATACTGCAAAAAGGGGAAAAAATGAAATAAAATAGGTTATCTTTACTCCTCCTTCGCTTCAGCAAGCATACTAAATGCATTATAAAATATAATGAAAAACTTAAGAGATTGATTTATTTTCTCCCCAAACTCTGAATTTTCTAATCACACTTTCTAGAACTTTTCCTGTAATTTACAGTATTTTCTCAAAGAGTTTTTCAATATAAAAAAACAGCTTAACTACAGGGAAGTCTTTGTGCCACACATAAGTAATATACCTGTATTCCCAGGATGTCAAACTACCACAAGTAGGTATTGTAAGTAAAGTACCACAGCAAGAATGAAAAGTGAATGTGTTCTGTCTTTCCTAAAGCATGTATTTTAATCTGCAAGATTAAAAAAAAAAAAAAGCCAAACAAAAAACACTTATCACTTTTGGATAGAAGTCAGAATTCCAGCTTAGTACCTTCACTGAAAGGAAGCCCCCTCCAGCGTGACCTCAACAGCTGTGTGTTTTGTTTTGGTTTCTGCTAACTAATTCACAGATGTGTAGCACAGACCCAACCACAGTATATACAGCTCCTTGCAGAATAGTTACTTGGTGGGATGGGAGGGTGCTGTGGATACTGTGGTAAAGATTTAGGAGACATAGGAGGAACAGAAGGTATCATAAGGAGTGATATAAAGGGAAGGAATACCAGACTTAAATCCATAGGAAACTGGGCTTCATCCATTCTCTTATTCACCTTACAGCCTTTTTTATCAACTCTAATGTTAAAGCTTTGTTGATTATATCATAAGAATATTTCCAATTAAAAAAGAAAAAAATTGGATTAAGTATTTGAGATCTATTAGACTGTGGGAACACAAATGGAACAACACTAAGTTTGGAACATCTTCATGTTAAAAAAAACATTCAATAAATACAGAAAATTCTCCTCTTCCCGCTATGCCATTCCTATTAGTATGCTGAAGCATCATCAGGCATTTCCATCAGTACTTCAGCAAGGGATGGCTATATTATACAGTACTTTAAAAAACACTATTGGCAATTTAGAGCAAATATATCCCCAGATCATTATGCAAGTGTGCTTTTGAGTTGGATACTGCCATTCAGGTATGACCCTGTACAAGAGTCCTTGGCATTTGTTCCCCCTCTGAGGCCTGGCTAGCACTCCAACACTTAAAAGCATCATAGCTAAGAGCAGTGATTTCTTAAATCAGCTGCATCACCCTTGCAAACATAAAATGGCATGGGCTGATTTGCACCATGTCCGTGCTAGCAATTTCCAGATAAGGATAAGAAACATATTAAATACATTAACTCAGACACATTTGGTCATTTGAATATGGCTTGACATCTCATTGCAAAACTTGGGATTTTAATTTAGTACATCCTGAACAAGCTGTGTACTAGCCTGTTTCTAAATTTTCCTATAGCTTTCTAAATCACATCACTATTCATCAGGCTTCCTCACAGTAATTCCTTATAGTGCTATAGTTCCTTATGGTTCCTTTCCTTTAGTTCTCTGTGTATGATACAGTACAAACAACTGAATACCACTGGAAGTTTACAATAAGCCACCAAACCATAGTAATTTGTTTTCAAACAGATGAAAGATGACTTATTTGTTGCCAGCACCCAATATTAAGTGTAAGCAACAACACAACAAGAACTTTTACTACACCCGTGTTGTTTGGAATTCCAGTGAGAATTAATCCCACAGGAAAGGCAGATTTCAGATTAAAGTTCCACCAGTGGCATACCTAAGGCTCATCTACATTTATCAGACATGCCTAGTTGTTCTCTAGTAAGCTGATAAATGAAATATTCTCCTTCAAAACAGAGAAGATCAGTCCTCAAACCAGGCAGTAATGTTTGGGGAGACACTGACATGTTTTTATAAAATACATTTAATATTAGCAGTAAATACTACTCCATATAACATCTTTTTGTGTTGCTAGCCTTTGTCAGTGCTTGTAACTTCTGGACAACTTAAGCCTTTTTCTTCCTGACATCCCTTATTTCGCTGCTATGTCCCTCTATGCCTATACCAGAGTAGGTGCAAAAAATGAAAGGTGGAAAAGGCAATGCTGGGGGGAAAGATTCTGAAACTTATCAGAAATTAGACTGTTAATCATCCAGAGTGAGGCAGCATTTCTCTTCAAGGGAGAAAAGGAACATCTATGTATATGCTAGCAAACACATGGTTTGTTAGTATCACCTTCACCGAAGCCTCAGTGAAAAATACTTTCAAGCAACCATTTCTGATTTATAAAGTCTAAAGGAAAACCAATCAAAGTAACAAAACTCCAAGATTTTTACAAGCCTTTTATCTGAGATTATATGCTACCCAGTCTCTCCATTACTATTTAGACCTAAATTGGATTTCCTGAAAACATAAAAAGGCAGCAGGACAGGATTTTATTTGTTTTCTCTTCTTGTCATGTCAGTCTTACTCTCTGCCTTATATCATCCTGTCCTGGTTGGGGCTGGACTAGAGTTCCCATTGGTCTGGCAGCGGGAGGAGCTGCAGCCCCCTGACACCCCAGGGGTTGCCCAGGGCCCAGTGCCCTCACCTGTGTGCGGGGGCGGGGGGAGCACAGCTGGAGGGCTGGGCCCCGATTGGCTGATAGTCCATGTCACGTGACATTGTGCTCACCATATAAAGGCAGGAGAGGGCTGGGAAGGGCTGCTACTTCTGGGAGTGTGGCTGTGGGGCCTTGGTGTTTGGGATCACTGGCCGGGAGCAGGTGGGTGTTGGTCGGTGGGTGGTGAGCAGCTGTATTGTACATTACCTGTTGATACTGCTGTCAGCGTATTATTCTGTTACTGTTATTCAACTGTTTTTATCTCAACCCGCGAGTCTCCCTTTGCTCCTCTGATTCCCTCCCTGTTCCCAAGTGGGGGGAGGGTGGGTGAGCGACTGCGGGGTGTTTCGCTGCTGACTAGGCTCAAACAACAACACATCCTCATCATTCTCTGTAACTCCCTGCTTCTCCTTGTCATAAATTACTGATTGGCAAGTGACTTGTAGGAGGGTGTCCTGTCACCTTATACTTAGCTCATACATTACATGTCATACATGACAGCCCTAAAGGAGGGAAGGCTACATTACACCTTAGTCCTATAACTCTCAAGGAATTCACAAAAGGTTGTGAAGACTGTCTTCAAGGAACTCCCCACATAAAAAGGGAAGTCCCCAGTCTCTTTCAGTGTCTAGCCTTTTCCTCTTTTTACTAAAAAAAAGGTTGCTTGCCTGCTACTCAGTGGAAGTGCTAATAATTACCAACTTGTTTAGAATAGTGCTGCTTTGAGTTAATTTTTTAAGTGTACTGTGAAACATGGGAGCAAAGATATTTTTCTAGTTAAGAATGTATCTTCACTGTAATTTCCCCATTAGTAATTGCATTAAAGTAATTTATATAGCTGATTTACCTTTAAAAATGTCAAAGTCTGATCTTTCTGACTGTCTGGCCCTTCATATGGATCTTCCATTAACAGCTTCCTCAGTTTCTTCAGTTTTGGTCGACATCTCCTTAATTCCCAATAGTTATTGGAGAAACCAGCAATCTACAAGAAAAAAAAATTACTCTTAAAACACTTTAATCTACCATTTGGATTCGAAGAATTTTACAAAAAATTCTCAGCAAAAACCATTAATCCAGTAATTAATAGGGTAATTACTTTAAAGATCAAACAATCATTGTAATATTTTCAATAAAAAAGTTTACTGCAGGCAGTAAAGAATAAAAATCCACTGTTGGTTGATAAAAGTATCTTCACAGTGGATATGACAAAGGGAACAAATTGTCTCTATGTGCAAGTGATAGAATATCATCATGGGATATATTCCTGCACAGTCCTTGTCAGCATTTATCTTCTTCTTAATACTAAATGATATTACTGCCATAAACTTCCTCCTGTATTATCCCGTTTCTATCTTCCCAACTTATTCCCATGCTTGGGATCTACTTCATGGTCTTTTTACACCTTAATGAATCATCATATCACTAAGCTCAAGTAAAACAGACATTAACAAGACAGTATGCTGCACTTGCACACAACTAACAAGACATCTCTGTTCCTTACTCTCATTCAACACAGATTGCAAGTGTGCAACAGGAAGCTCAGGTGCAGTTGACTCAACATCACTAATCTAATAAAACTTTACCTTCAGAGTAATACTGAGGTGTTTCAAGGGGTACAGCTTAGACTTCCTAGAAGATTCTTTGAAGGCAACAAGAGTAGTGGAGGCCTTTCAGCACTGTTTTTTTTATTACATGTTTACCAAACCAAGAGAAGCATGTACAGAATGGCAGAAGCAGAACAGGCTCCAGGTTTGTGACTCCTAACCCAACCACTAGCCCCTTGTAAAAAAGCCTCCAGATAGTACTTTACAATGCCCGAAATGCTTTACCAGATTACTTTTTTTTTTTTTTAAGGTCAGCCATTAAAAAAAAAAAAACAAAACAAAACTTTAATATAATGTTCCATTTAAATCAACTATAAGCAAACCACCTATATGTAGAAGTCCTATCCAAATTCTAATGCAGAGAAAGCTCTCAATTTTTAATCTAACTATTCCATAGCTTGTTTAGCACAAAATTCAGGTAAATACTAATTTCCTGATAAACTTCTAAGCTTTTTTTTTTCCCCTCCATGCCAATTAGCATTTACCAAAGTGTTAGATTTTTTTCCCTGCCAAGTTCTTTTCTGAGCAATTTGCTGATGAACAGGAAGGTACTCTGTATAGAAAATAAAATAAATAAATCTAATTTATAATTCAAAGCTCATAGCTGGAGCTGGTCTTTGTGAGGTGAATGAAACAGCAGATGCTTTGGCTGTGAATATTAGCCTTGCAAGCGGTACAAAGAGCAGCACAGACTGCAGAAGGGCACTGAAGCCCCAAAATTCTGAGTAAACATAGTATCTTTTGCTCTGTTTCACAATTTGCAGTGTCAATACACCATGGAACGTTTTTGAAAACATTAAGAAAGCTCTTAGAAATAAAACTCTAAAAATAATTCCTAAGCAAATCACATTTATATTATCTTGACATGTGACTTTAGAGGTGTCATGGGTTAATATTCCTTTTCAGGGACTAGATGAGTGCTGTTTTGGATTTAGCTTTGGGTTTGGTATGAGAAGAATGCTGATAGCACACTGATGTTTTCAGCTGCTGCCGAGACTTCAAGGACTCTCCAACTCCTCATGTTCTGCCCATGCACAAGGGCACAGGGAGCAGGGAGGGAGCACGGACAGAGCACCAGACCCAAATTGGCCAGTGAAATATTCCATATCATGGAACGTCATGCTCGCTATATAAAGGAGGGGTGGTTGGGAAGGAGCTCTCTCGCTTCTGGGATTGCGATTGCGGGATCTTGGTATCTCGGGGTCACTGGCCGGCAACGGGCTGGGGATTGGTTAGTGGGTCGCCCAACGTGGGGCTGGAACCCGTGAATCTGGGATTAAGAGTCCCATGCTCAAGGGACAAGAGGACTAGTGAGATCATTAATCACAGCAAAGAAAGAGTACAAAAGAATATTACTCTCTCATTCATCTACTTCAGTTTGAATTAACTTTTTCTATTAGCTGAACTACTGACTTCATAGAAGAAATGCTGGTTTGATTATTATGTTCATCTAAGGACAAGCAGGATTACTCCTCAATGATGTCATTATATCCATTACAGCAAATAATGACCTGGTAATAATATTTGCCTATTCGTAGTAGAATTTTATTAACTATGCTTCAGAAGAGCAGATAACAATGAATTCTTTAAGCTGAGAACTCTAAAATCATTCACTCCAACAAATCTTTCCAGATGCTAGTTGAAAAAGAGAGGCACCTTTGAATATGTTTCAGTATTTAAAAAATACTATTTGGGCATGACGTGGTATAACCTGCCTTTTGTGCAAAGCAGTCCTACGAATCAATTTGCAAACAGCTTATTTTAAAAACAGCTGCTAACACCGAGAAATCAGATTTTCTTTGAAAGCTTTTAATGCCTACTACAATTACTATTCACTGAAAATAAACCAAATTTTTAACTGCTTAGAAACAATAATTATCATACATTATGGATAAAGTTCAGTTGCCTAAAGAAAGGCCCTACAGCCATTTTGAACACCCTAAAGTATAGCATGCCCCCTGTGTATAAAGCGTATTTATAAATGAGATGCCCCTGGGGCTGTTCAATATACAAAGAACCTACAGGAGACTCATGTCCTTCTGCAGTGGCAGCTCAAAGCTAGACCAATACCCTAAGGCATCTAAAATGGCATTAGAAGCCTATGTTTAGGCAACTGAATCCCAGCTGGGTTCCACATACACATCTCGGCTAAAATCCAAGGAATTATAGAGAATAAGGAAGTAGAGAATTAAAACAAACACACAAAAACCCAGAAAGACATACCTGTGTATGAATGATATTACAAGATGCTTGATCTGCATTCAGCTGTTCTGGAGTTTTGCAACCAGGAATAAAGAGCAGCATATTCGAGGTATCTGCTATTTTCATGTCGTAAGTTTTATCTTTGCTGCACAACACGGCTTGTTCATCCTTTTCACCACGGATTACTAGGCTGGAAAAAAAAATAGCACAAAAATAAAGACATATTTTTACCTCTATTTCAGGATGAACACCTATTAAACCTGTCTGCTATTTTTTCACATTTACACATTGGTAAAGAAGGTATGAACTCTGGTTCTATTTGGTAGCAACAGTCACAGTACACCAAAATATAAAGATGCAATTGTCAATTAACCTAAAATATCTTAACACTGGTTTTTCTTCACCTTTTAGAGTTTTCCCAATTTGAAAGACAAGTATTCAAGGTTTTATGCAGATCATAGCCGTATCTCCTCACCTGCCTTTTCGTGCAAAACCCTCCAAACCACTGACGAAGTGATGCTTAAAGCCTGAAGCAGTTCACTCATCTTAGAAATGAGATTACAATTAGAACTGTTCTTTAATGAAGACTGAAACTGGCCCATTGTGAAGCAAGCAAACAGAAATTGTGTCTACTGTGCAGTGTCCTTCAGATAATTTCTCTCAAAAACCTACATTTTTTCTTGCAAGTAGTTCCAAGCAGGAAAGAAAACCATCTTCTAGAGCATTTCAGTACAACGAATCAATATAAACCCTCCTCTTCAGCTCACATACTTGATTAAGAGATTCTTAGTGAGGACGTGATAATACTGAAGCAGAACAACAATGGGGGCTACACTAAATTAAATATGTCCAATTTCATCATACTCATCATCTTTCTTCCAAAAGCTTGCATGCGTGAACAAAGCTCAGCTGTGCCCCAAGCGCTCCTCAGCATGACTCAGGCCTCTAACCAATGACACCTTATCAATACTGCATTGACTATGAACAGGCTTAGTAACATACATCTCCGAGGACTATTTTCTTTAAAAGAAATTCTAATATTGTATAATTTTAAACACAGTTATCATATTAATGTCACTGGCATTGCAGCAAGGGAAGAAATTCTAAAACAATATCAAAAACTTCTCTAGAATCTGTTCTTGGTCCAGAGTCAGGTATTGTGTAACCATCCTACCAAATGCCTATGAAACAGTGCACGTCCTTCACTGTCCTGCTTGTCTAACATGTAGACACCCAGCCATCCACCCAACCTCAAGTGTTCCAGTAAGAAAATCTCAGAAGCCAGATGGATTCTTTTAAAGACATAATCTCCTTTCCTAAAGTATCTTTATATGCCCAGCAAGAAACTCTCCTCACTTTTGGCTAGAAGCCTTGTGAGAAGCAAGTATTCTATATGCCAAAAAAAAAAAAGGGGGGGGGGAGAGAGGGAGAGAACAATCACCAATACAACAGCATACAGAAGTGGGAAACTCCAGTAACAAAGTTGCCCCTCTGATCAGATTGAATTGTCTGGGAACAGGAACTGAGGTTGTTTTCAGTCCTTATCACTGGTTCACACTGTAACAATGCGTGAACTATCACCTATACCATCTTTTTTTTTTTTTTTTTTTTTAAGCACGCACAAGTTGTTTCGCCGAAATAATCTAAATGTGTTATAAATACCCATTATAAAGTGCCGGTTATGTTTGTTTTGCCCAGATTATTTTAGGTGGTGCTAGCTTTTAGTTCCCAACTTAACTGAGCCAGGTTTAAGGGTCAGTGACATTTTCATGCCAGACCGACGAAAGCCTGGAGAAAGCCACGTCGAAGGGCCACGTCAACTACCGAATGTGAAAGGTGGGGTAGCGCAGCCCTGCCCCAGCAACATCCCGCACTGCTGCTCCTGCTCCCCCACGCACGCCGTGGGCGAGCTGGGAGGGTAGAAAACTCCATCCTCCCGTCGCGGGGCGGGCCTGACCCAGGTCTCTCTCAGCCTCCGGTCGCCACCCTGGCCACCGGGCCCCAAAATGGCGAGGGAAGCGGGGGGTGCCGCCGCCGCCGCCGCCCAGCCCGCGCCCCGCCTCAGGACGCCGACACCCCCTGCCCTGCAGGGGGCGCCCTACCCCGCACCGTACATGCGTCCCGCCTCCAGCTCAGCGCAGAGGCCCGGCTCCAGCTGCAGCAGGTAGCACTCGCCGGCGCCGGCCTGCGGCCCGAAGCTGAGGCAGTGCGCGGCCGGCAGCAGTTCCGCCGGGTTCAGTTTGGCCGTCTGCAGCGTCACGTCCACCTCCGCCCGGCTCCGCATGGCAACCGCCGGCCCGGCCCGCGCCGAAAATCCCGCCTTACCGAGGCGGCCGCCGGCAGCGGCGGCGGCGAAGGGCGGGGCGGGAGGCGGTGAAGGCCGGGCGCCCGTTGGCGCGCGCAAGGCTGGGTTGATATTCTGGTTGGCTGCGATGCGCTCGGCCGCGACCGGCGGGGCGGGCGGCAACGCGTCGCGGTTAAGCCGAAGGAGGGGGGAGCGCTCACCAGTTCCCGCCCCAGCCCGCGGGGATGAGGCCCCGCCACCGGGTCTGATCCTCCCAGTTTCTGTCCGGCTGCACTGGGAGCTAAGCTGAGCTGCAGTAAAATCTGTGTGCCAATAGAATGCGATAAAAATCCACAAAATGCCCTAAATAAAATGTATCTACAAAATACAACAAAAATAGGCCCAATATGAGAGCCCCTGCCCAGCTCCCATTGAGGCAGCACCCTCCAGGGATTTCCTTGACACAGAGCGTGAGAGCAAGGGGGGAGAGAGGAAGGCCAACCACCCAAGCTGCCATGATGGGGCCTGGCTGTGATCGGGAAGACTGCGTCAGGCAGCTGCAGGTGGGCACCCACTGGTGCCCCTGCTCCTGTCACAACAGCTTTGGGGGCAGTCTGAGAGCAAGTGTCTGATGGCTCCCGTCGCTGCATGATCCCTTAGGAAAGGGAGTGCACAGCCCCACGGAAGGGTTCGTCTCTCGCTGACTAAAGGGCTCAGCTGGGCTTCACGCTGTGCCCTGACCTGGGCTCTGTCTGCTTGAGGAATCTGTGAGGAAATGCTTGAGCTAAAGCCATGACAGAAGCAAGTAAAAACCACAGGCAACCATTTATTGCAACAGAAAATGTCTGCATCTCAGAGATTCAAGAGGCAGTCTGTTGACATCCTTAAACCATAAGAAAAAAAATGAAAGCGGAGGCTCGGAAGACAGTGGCTCGGCACCACTGGGAGTCAGTCCTCTGAGGAGCAGCACAGGATGCCTCTTCCCTGCCTTGCCCAGGGCGACTGATTCCCCAAAAGCTCACTGAGGTCTTACTGCAGAGCATATTAATGCTCAGCCTAATAGTGTGTTAGTAGCTGTCTGCTGTGTACATTAGCCAACAAATAATTACTCTGGGCTCCTGAGTTGTGTATATCTGCTTGCAGAGTCCCTCTGTGCTTGATATAAGCCTGCACCAAATGACCCAGACAAAGAGGTCATACCATGTTTGTGTTGGAACCAGAAGCAGGAGCTGGAGGGATGGAGTACCCAGCCCAGCAGAGAGCAACTGCTGTTATATGTGACTGAGTCAGGCATCTTCTGCCATCAGAAAGTCTTTTGCCTGAGTGGTGCCAGCGAGGCAACTGGCCTTGGACAAAACTTTGACTGAAGTAATGAGGCAGTTATCTCTATCACATGTGCAGTGGCTTGCTCAAAGATTCAGTGATTTATCATACTTGAGTGTTTTATTTCAGGTATTGGAAAGTGGAAATACAGTCACTGTGGAGACAGGAAACGTGAGGCACTCTGGCTACATTCTACTATGTGTAGGTGCAAACTGATACATGTACAGCCTTACTGGAGACTGTTACATTTTGCTTTAACGTAAATCTGTTCCTGCACACCTCTAAGGCAAACCAGAAAATCACTGTACTACCAAGTAAATGCTCACACAGTTGCTATTTAAATAGCAGCTTAATTATGCTGGTTTAAATTTATGCCTTAATTTGTGCAATTTCCCAATGACCTTGCATGCCTGCCTCTTCTCATTTCTCCTTTTCATTCTGTGGAATAAGAAAAAAGGGATTATTATATAACAAAGGAACTTAATCCAATGGATGAATTCATGGAGTTTGTATCTTAAGAGCTCTGCAATGTAACAGAAACCTAGTGGGAAGGAAATCACTGACTTTTTCAGGAGTTGGCACTGATCTGTTGTCAGGAACATTTGTACTAGTTATTTTTTCCAACCAGTTTTGCTTATCCTGGTAGTTCTGGTTGGAGATGTAACATACGTGCTTGTGCTGCCTACCATCTTTCTTCTCTGTCCCTCACTTAGCACTCTGAAAGTTCCTGTTCAAGTTCAGGCAAATTTCCTAGAAGTTTTGTGGAAATCAGTGGCTGGACAATATATTGGAGCCCCTACTTAGGGGAAGGCAGCTCTGATCCATTCAGAGAGGCAGCAGCCAACTGGTTTATCAGCAAAAACATGGACATAAATCTACAGGAAACATGTCTCATTTGTCAGGAAACAACTTGTATTATGCTTAGCTTTTCACTGAGAACACTTTAGAACAGTGACCTAACTGGCCAAAAATGGTTTGTGTAGGAACTCATGAAGTTAGTTTCTTGAAACACTGATGAATCATGTAATGAATTTGGATTGCAGAGAATATGCTAAACTATCAATGTTGCTGTCAATTTATAAGGAAATGCATGCTATGGTAAGGGAGCTTGGCAGGATCCAGAAATTATTTTATAATGATGTTGTGGGATTATTTATTTCCCCTGGAGTTGCTGTAGCATAAATGAGTACTGCTTTCACTTTGAGCTGCTGTGGTGGGCTGAAACTGTCAGGGTTCAGGAGCATGTAACATCATGGCACAAGCAGGGGTGAAACGCTCCTGTGACAGAATGGAAGAAAGAGTTGAGCAAACAATTAATGCAGCCATCCCAGCTTAACTGATCACCAACTGAAGTCAGTCCCTCAAGGTGCACATCTGAGGCTTTAAGTGGCTTCTGTGTGTGTATAGCTGAGAGGTACGCCTTTTTAACAGGTCTTGGTATAAGGGAGAAGTAGACTGAACTGCTAAATAGCCTGCATCCTCAGCCGGGCTGCGGAGGGGAGGCAGGAATGAAGTCAAGTCTCAAGCAAGATAAGCTTTGGTGTAGTTTTTTCAATTAAATAATGTTAATTAATGGAATCTGGTTGACTAACATTGAGTGAAGTGAGCAAAACAGAAAATGGATTGTTGAAGTTTATTATAGTCTTGCCTTTGAAGTTCCTGGCCCTGTACAATGTTTCCCATGATTCAAACATCAAGGATGTGAACAGCAAAATAAATGAAGGGCAGCTGTGACAAATCAAAGAAAGGAAGTTCAAATAACTCCAAAGCTCCACAACTAAGACATAAAACAATGAACTGCAAGATAACATAACATATGTTATAACCGTGCACATTACCAGTGTCAGGCTCTAGCCATCAGGCAGCACGCTGGGAGGATGACTGCCCAGGTGTGATTGCAGTTCAAGTGCTTGGGAGCTCTACAGTAAAATGTAGTGAGAAAATTGGGCTACATGAAATGGGGTGCTTAAATGTCAAAGAAAGATGTACACGCTAGAAATTTCTGAATGTCTTTCAAAACACAATGTAAGTAGCTGTGAAAAAAAAAAAAAGATAATAAAGCCAGCACTGGAAAAAATGGCATAGTGCCAAAGCTGAACACCATAACACGTTATGAGTCTGGTGATAATTACACAGTTCACAGTTACAGTTCTTGGAGATTATTTCACAAGAGAGGCCCAGTTTGATTAAAGCCTCACAAAATTTAGTTCAAGGATTTATTTTTTCAGCTGAAATGCGATCTGCAATATTTAAAATTAGCACATATGTTACATTTTCACCCGTTAAATGACAATTTCTCATTGTCTAGACATACCTGTCAGTGGAAATGCCCATTGTGCTTCAACACAGAAGGTGACCATGGCAGCTGGACCTGCAGGTGTGACAAGAGCTCTGAATATCATTTCAGCATGTTGCAGTCTTCTGTGAGACAGTGGAAGACTAAGTGTCTACAATGAATGTACTACATTTCCTTCCTAGAAAAATAAGAAAGAGAACAAAAAAATACAAAAAAACAAAACAGAAAATATAATTATGCCATTGTATAAATCCATGGTACATACCTATCTTGAATAATGAGTCTGTCTGAAATGTAAGAACTGGGGAATACCACTGAAATTAACAGAAAGTAAATTATGGATAACAGAAGAACTTTCTCTGCAACAAATTGTGGAACTTGTGATACGTTGTAGAAGTCAAAATGTGTGTGATCCACAAAAGTGTTAGATAAATCCATAAAGGTTAGATGTGCTTGTATCTGTTATTCACGATGTTCAGGTTTTAGTCATAGCTCAGGACCCTAAATAAACTCAGACCCCCTAAATCACCAGAGCACACACTCTTCTGCTCTCCATTGGAGTTGATTATTGAGTTAGACATTTTTTTTTTTTTTTTAAAAATGAATAGCTCAAATAGCAAAGCAGTGTCTTGTATGTTCTATGTTCCAGGCAGTGATTAATTTGTATTATCATGTCCCAGTAAAACTGTCATACCTGATGATGTCAGCCAGCAAAGCCCCACAATGCAGGAGATAACAAGTCCAAGGGAAAATTTCAGCCAATTAGTAGAATAACCCAGTAGCTCATTGCTGCCTCAGATAAGTGCTGTCTTGTCACTCTTAATAGGCCAACAGGAAGATGCAAAAGAGTTATATTCAGATTAAGAGCAAATAAACAGTTGTAACCAAATCTAAATAATTGTGTAAACTATACAATAGCTGGGAGTATCTATTTCAGTGACATAAAATTGGTTCTGTGCTGGAAACAGTGGAGAAGAAATACTCAAGCACAGAGCTGGAGAGCACATGCCAAAATAGGTGGGGCAGAAACACCATCAGCACAGTTAGGAAACAACGCTGAGAGTTTCACAGCACACAGTTGTGACAAACAAGAACCCAGATACCCAATGCTTACAAGACAACTAGTGCTTAGAGACCTGTTCTGCTGTTATGTCATTTCTCAGCAAGGACAGCATATGTAATTGCAAACAAAGCCAGAGGATCAGTCATGCTCCGGTGACATCATTCATAAGGTGGGGTAAAACCTGAAAAAGCTGGTACCCAGCCTACATTTGTCACTTGTCCCCAGTCTCAGCCAGCCAGCCAGGATGTTCTTAGCTACAGAGCATGTCCTCGCAGTATAAATGTTGGTGCAGTGGATAGGAAGGGGAAGCTATGATTTCTGTTAACCTTGGCATGAAAGAGCAGGACATTTTTTTCAAAAATATATTAATTATAGTGACCTTTTAGATTTAGAGTATGAGGCAGGCTGTGCATGTCATTTAATAGATGAGTACATCATGGAAGTCTTTTGCTCCATCTGCATTTTCTGGATAGATCTCTGGAGTGTTTCTACCACAGCAAAAATTGTAATTAAGACTCAGCTGATTTTGCTAGTTGGCAAAATTAACAGCAATACTTTACTGCGGGTCCTAAATTTTAATCACATAATACACCTGCTGCTAAAATTATTTGAAACAGTGCTATCATTAGTATCTATGAGATAAATGTCTATAGATTAATGGAAATAAACGTAATTAAAAAAAAAAAAAAAAAAAAAGCTATGTAGAGTGTTTTGTGGCTAATTTCAAGGCTCACTCTGGAGACCTTATTAATAGTGACATCCTAAACATCAGTGTGTCTCATCTGGCAAGTTATCGTATCGTCTCACTTCTTGATTAGCTAGTATCTGCATAGCAGTTACCTGAGAAAGTTTTTTTGCAGTTAATCTATTACTGATTTTGAGGCATTGCTAGGACTAAGGATTACAAGTATATCCCAGCAAACTACATATCTACAATATCTGTATGAATCTAAAATAAATCAATAATTAATTAATGTGAAAACCATAGCCATATTATACAAAATATGTATAAAAAAGCCCCAAACAAACAGGAAGATGCATTAAATATTCTATTTGTGAAGAGTATACAAAGTAGAGCAGTGTGGGAAATTTACAGTGAAAAGTAACTGGATGAAAATTTGAATGAGGACCACGAAGAAGCCAATATAGGAAAAGCTCATGTAACAAAAGGAGCAGAAGCCTTACACAGGGAAAAATTAAAAGGTTGGTACAAATGAGCACATCATAAAAATTCTGTCCAAAAAAACCAATGTTGGAATGATCTACAAACTGCAGAACAAATATCTGATTCTGTTAAATTCTAGTTGTTTCTCTTGTTTCTGCTTGTAGGACCTTCTAGTCTCACCCTCAGTCATGTTGAATAATGAGATCTCAGGTTGTAACCATCCAAGAATTACCAGTTAGCTTGTTTTTGTCATTCTCAACTTTCCTCCTGGTGCTGAAATATTAGATGAGCAGGCTATCCCCTTCCCCTCCTGCTCCCCAATATACCTAGGCCGCTGTCCTTTTTAGTCCCAAAACATTTGTCTGACATGAAAGTGGAAAAAAAGCTGTGGACATCTCTGCAAGAAACACTTTGTTCTGAAGATATCCATCTACCCCTCTCATCAGGCATTACCAGGGCCTATGCCTAAAGCATGAATATTCCTGTATCAATTATATTTTTGATATTTTCCCGTGACGACCCTAACCATCTGTGGTTTTTTAGTCCTGCTGCTGAATACTAGAGCTTGTCATGAGGCCAAACATTTTTCCATTGTAATCACTGTATCAATGAGTAGCTGGAATTTTCTTCTTACAAATGTGTGAGCCAACATTAGTAGTGAGCATATCCCAAAGGATATCAATGTCTTGAGATGCTGACTAATTTGACATCATGTGGTAAGCTATAACTGGGACAACAGAAGTAACTTTCCATTCATCGGATGTTTTGGTCTCTCAGATCTCCAATTACTCTCGTCTCAGAAAATAAATGCACTGCCTGTACAGTTAGGAGAGATACTTGTCCTCTCATCTTCCCCTATTTAGGTGTTGGAGACTGCGTCATCAGTTTTGGCGCAGTCCTTACCCAAAAGAATTGCCTTTCCCTGGGAAATTATTCGGTAAGTGGAAGATGAGGCTGCTCTCATCATGAATTGCTTCAGAAGAGATGCTATGTGAAGCTTGAGGGGCAATACTGCCCTTCAAGCCCTCTTCGGAGAGCTAAATGAGTTTCCCCCCAGATTTAACAATTTGAATGAGAGAAACATCAAAGGCAGTTAAGAAACTTAGAAATCTTCAATTAAAATTTGGATGCAAGTTCCATTCCCAGGGAGGTGGGCTCTGGAGTCTGCCAGATCGGGTTATGGGAAAAGCACGGGTGCAGCTGATCCTATTCCATGATGGGGATGTGCAGCAAGTGGATCTCCTGAGATGCTTCCAGGTCAGTTTTCTATACTGACATCTTTAAAAGTCTTCCTCCAGAGAGAGAAGACACTGCAGCTGGGGAGGAAAGGTCTCACCTCTCTGCTGGTTGCTGTAGACAGGCAGCATCCCATGATGAAGACAGTGTAATACAGAGGGGAAAAGCTCTGAGGGGCATCACAAAGCCAATTTATGCTTTCCACCTCCTACCTCAGCCTGGCTCTGTTGCCACTCTCTTACTTCACTTCCCGATTCTCTTCCCTTCTTTTCTTAGCTCAAGTCCTACTTCTGTTCTTAGTGGTACTCTCTTCTCATTCCTTTTCTGCTTACAGCTATTTCCTGTACCTTTTTATCCTCATTTCACCTCTCTTCCCTGGGTGAACACACCTTGGTGAAATTTTCTTCCCAGCCACAACTACAGACTGATTCTCAGATGTTTTTTTTTATTGCTGAGACATTAAGAACAAGACAGTGTTCCCACTACAGTTCAGCCCTTGGCAATGTTGTTACCAGGTTCTGTATTTCAAGAGACCTGGATTTGTTCTTATGAGAAAACCTGGCTATGTTCCTGCTTCATCCCAGTTGTGTCTGTTGGTACCTTTTTCCACCAGTTCCTTTGGCACCCAGTTTCCCCGATGCAGAGCTGCAGCAAAACTCTTTCTCCATAAAGAATTCTGGTTCTCTGTAGCACCAAAAGTACATTCTCTTTGGTTCAATAAAGGGACCGGTCATATCTGATCATTTTGCTATATCTCAGCACAGTGCAGTATCTGATTTATTTTAGAAGCATGTTCTACTGAGTTTATCTCATTGCTTCAGCACTCTAAGAGATCCATAAATATTTTAAGAACCCAGGAGGTCCCAGACAAATACTTCCTTGCAAGGTGCTTTCATAAAACAGAATATTGACTTATCTCCTATTTTGCTGACTTCCATTTTTCATTTTGACTAGATTGGGTAGTTATTTTGTTGTTCATTGTGGAGGGAAATTGATAGAGTCAGGTAAGTTTGTGTTCGTAATCCTGTGCAAAGATTATTTTGTCTAAAGATTATTCCCTTATAGAATTACCGTTAGCTTAATTTAACAGTCTTTTTCTTTTGTCAAGCATCAATTCACAATTTCCTAATAGGCATTTTCATACTTAAATTCTTGGAAGGACCACAGGGTGGCAGAGTGATTAAACACATAGCTACTGGAAACAGTTTCTTAAGCAGAACAAGAGTCAGGTGAGCCAGAGTAGCTGCCAGTGGCGACTTTCCCTGTGGAGCTGAGTGATGCCCTCGGTTCGCAGCGTTTCGGACACCCCGCAGCACTGGTGACATACCTGCCCGGTGGCCTCCAGCCGCCCGAGCCCCGCAGAGCCCCGTCAGCCGGAGGAGCCGCTTCACTGGCGGGTGTTCCTCGGCCCCGGGATGTCTGTGTGCTGCACAGCCTCACCTAAAGACAGGATGCGATGTGGTTAAGGACCGAGACAACGCTGAAACCTCTGCTTTGTAGAGTACTGCTTGACAAAAGACTGTTTTTCTTTATTAAAAGCCTCATCAGTCATAGAGGAGTACAATTCTGTATCTGGTGGCAGCAGCTGCTTGGCATCCTGTCAAACTGTTTGCATCTGTTCCTGCCACCAGAACCACATATCCCCAGCTATGTGCACACTGCGTGCTCGCACCCCCCACCTACCCCAAACCCTGGCTGTGGTGCTCTCTCCAGGGCACGAAGAGCCAGATTGCCTATGGTAAGTGTGCTCCATCACCAGCAGTGTGGAAAGAGCAACAGTCAACAGAAACTCAGGCTGAGAAGCGGGAATAGGTAGCAAAGGCCTAGTAAGGAACAGTGTCTTAACACTGAATCTCAGCTCTTACGTGTTGCCTCCCAAAGGGGAAAAAAAAAAAAGTGCCGCAATGTTCAGGGCTGGTTACAGTGCACAGTCAAACTGTCAGTTCAAGCCACAGTGGTTGAAGCAAACCTTTTTGATCTTGCAACCAGATATCAGAGCACATTAACACAGATACAGCTGGGGGACAGCTTAAGAAGCTGGCTTTTATCACTTAGCTAGTAGGTGTTGTCTTCACACTTGAGATGTGGTTTAGAAAGCAGTTCCTTTAAAGCTCTTAGTCACACTACCCAGCTGACTCACACCTCCCAGCCTGAGCACTAAGCTGGATACTACAAGAGTCCCAGACTACGACCTGGGCTGTGGCATAGACATAGTTCAGTCTGCATGAGTTTGTAATTGCTATCAGTTAAATGCAGAATAAAATAAAGAGAAAACAAACCACAAAAAGAACTATTGGAAATACATATGAAACCTTGAAAGATTAAGGTTTCTGCCAGTTTTACAGGTGCTTTTTGATAGGGAAATATTTTTGTGATGCTCAAAACTAGATATTATTACAAAACTACTGAATATATGAAATAAGAGAAAATAGAAAATGTTCCAGGTACGATAGATAAATAGAGGGACTCAAGTGTATAGAACAAACGGCGTCACTGGCATTGGGTAGTACAGAATGCTTGTTTAACAGACCATACTGTCAACTTGAGCTATTGGGTCTGATGGTCTGATGTGCATTTCTGATCTTTTTTATTATTGAAGCCGTTTTTTTCCATAAAATATTTATCTGTTCACAGGACCAAGCACTAAAACATGTATGCATCTCTTGGCTGTGCTTTAGCCATCAGTCTGCACAAGATTCTCACTGTCTGGCTCAGTGACTGTTTGAACATTTAAGACAAAATGGAAGAGCTGAGTAAGGACAGGCCTAGAAAGCCCCTTTCAGATTGTCCCTGCATATCTCAGGATTAAAATGGCTTTTTCTCTGCACTTCAGCTCACTATTATAACGATTACCAGGTCAGTGCTGCATGAAATGTAAGAATCTAAACAGAATGAGTCTCACTCTAGAGCTGTAATGTTGGGCAGATTATGAAAATTTCCTCCTGTTACCTCACCATGGTGGTTTTTGCAGGAACTTGGATGTTATAATAGAAAAAGAGAAGTTTAAAACATACCATTTTTTTTTTTTTCTGAAAACTTACTAAGTTTTCCTGTGGTTTATCATATGACTAAAATTAGCTTAGCCAGATGCATTCTGTCCTTTGAAACACACAAGCAGTGATTCTTCTGACCAGTTCCTAGCAGACAACTTATATTGTTTGAACCTTAAGCAGCAAACGAGCAGCAATTAATGTAGTCTGTGCATTGCCAAGAATGGGAAACACTATTGTACATAGCCTGAAAAGAGGAGGGGAGACTGGACAATACCTGGTAGTTCCTCTGGTTCCCCTTGCCAGGCCCCTAGTGCTAAGGAAGTGAACCGTTTGAAAGACAAAGACAAGTGAACTCTCTTTGCAAATAAACTTGGGAATATAGAAAAAAACCCAAATCCCACACTAATTTTCGATGACTGTTGCAAGAGCTACGTCACTGAAAAGCCAAAAACCTATTTTCAATTTGTCTTCCTCAGTAAGAGAGGCACCAAGTATTTCTAAATTTGATGTTTACATAATGTCGGCTTCTATACAAAAGATGTTAGGAAAAACAAAACTGTTAACCCATGAAACAGCTCACCTGCTAATGCATTTTCTCCTTGAAGTGCTTCACCATCTTTTGCATGAGGTGATCAATGCCTTAATGATTTGCCTGTGATTTTCCTGTTTAAAAAGGTCTAGTCATCCCAGCAGGGGAAAGACAACTGTATATGGGATTCAGGAACAATGCTATAGGAGAAATGAGAAGTACACACATGAATATTGGTAGTTTTTTCATGTGAATGTCTCATGCTAAAATAAGCTTGTGGAAAATGAATTAGTGTGAATAAAGAACTAATTTATTAAACCTCAGATTAATTTATCAAGTCAAAATGTAGGACACATGCAATATTCTTTAAAGCAGTGAAAGCAATATTTTTATTTCACTATGTAAACTTTTAGCATTTCACCACTTGAGCATTTACTTGGTGGGATAACAAAGTTTATACAAACTACTAGAGTGTTTTCTAAGAGCAGTACTCTAATACAATGTCCCTCTTCATGCATGATGTCCCACGGAGCATCATGACCTTGGGGGTTCCAATGTGTAGCCTAATACCTTACTGCATGCCACAGAACCTGCACCACCATCAACAGTCAGTGGAAGACACTTGAGCTTCCCCTCGTGCCTGTGGTACCAACTCTCCACTACACCTATGGGGCTCTTCTTACTCTCTTGATGTTTTGGAGGACGAGTTTTAAAGTGTCCCAGGGCTCCAGCTCAAAAATGTGTCATGCTTTTGGCTGAGGAATGCCTTACTGTTTGCTAGCTACCTTCATCTCCCTTAACTCCAGCCACGCTAAGGTAAAATGCAAAAGTATTCATATCTAAACCAGACACCAACTCCTACAATTGATCCTATATTTATAAAAAAGAAATCAATCCACTTCCCAGAGGTTACCTCAGAGGGATGTATGTCTCTCTTGCTGTCAGGATTTCAGGCTCTGCACATGCTGTCCCACCTCTTAGAGGAGTCTTGGTGGCCAGTGTCCCCTGGGAGGAAGCGTAAAGGCAATTTAATCTTTTGCTAGACCTCATGTTCTATAGCAGTCTGTACATTAAAAACAAACAAGCTGCAAACATCTAACCAGGTTATTTTATGTAGCATATTTCTGGATTTTGGCTGAAACATGACCCTTTGGGGTTATGTAAGTCAACAATTTTTGGGTGAGAGCAGGCTTGGAGTAACTGATACCCTATTCCCTCCTTAGGCACACTGTAAGAAATTTCGGCATGAACATGTGGAAAAAATTACAAATGGGATATCAGTGTGCAAAGGCAAATGTGGCCGTGTATAATCATTAAATAATTCAGTACAGGAAATTGCACTGGCTTGCATTTTCCAAGTTGCAAGACTATGCAAGGAAAGATACACTTTTCAGGCTGCAGTTCCACAAGCACCCTGAGACAAGCCAATAGCTGGTCACTGCCCAGAGACAGCTTCTTCCCCCTTTTCCTCTCTCTCTTACTCCTCTTTTGCTTCTCCTCCCAGCTGCCCAGGCCCACTCCACCTCTGTGCCAGCTCAGGTGCTTGTTGGACCCTACAGCCATCTGCACAGCTCTGCTCACTAGCCCAGAAGAAACTCTCCATTTTCTGGTACTCTCCTGCCTGTTTAGTGAATTGAATTGCAGCAAGCAGAGGTCCTTAAGGTGGGAAAACTAGCATAAGACATATTGCAGATTGTGCTGCTGGAGCAGAAAAGAACAGCGTATCCCCTTTGAGCAGTGGTGAGTGGCTGAATTGGCCAAACCCAGGTAATGGAGCCCAGGCCTTACCCAAGAATGGTCTGCAATGTACAACAACTTTCTCTTGAAATTGTCTTTCCTTCCGTCATGTGATAAAGTGCTTGATGGAAATTACTGTGTAAATTCTTTGTCCGAAAGATAAGGTCAGATGAGATGGTTGTTTCAATTCCCTTTTTGTTTCCAGCTCTGTGAATCTGTACTTTGTATGTTTGCAGTACGAGTGGAATTAGAGGGTGTTTGCAAGTATTCATATTAAATGCATGTCTTCCAACTTTACAGCAAGCAGGCTCAAGCTGTAGTGTTTACAGTCGTAAAGTGTCCTCTCTCCCTGGCCCATTCCATGAATGAAATGAAGGCAGATTCTGTTTTTCTTCCTTTGCCATCCCTGGATCTCCAACGCTCTTTGAGACCTGCAAAGGTGCTCACTAAAACAACTATACTGGGTTGAACCAAAGGTCCATCTAGTCCAGTATTCATCTCAGTGGCTATAAACAAATGTGTAGGGAACAGCAGGGAAAGCCTATATGAAACATCTTGCAAGAGCTTGCCTAGCTTCCAATTATTTTTAGAACAGAGAATTTCCTGAGCTGGATGTGGCTGCTGTCTGCTTAGTAACCCTCTGTAGATTTCTTTTCTAAGTACTTGTCCATTTTTCCTCGACTCCAAATCCATTCATTTACATCCAGAGCCTCTCTTGGTAACGCATACCCCAAGTTGACTGTGGGCTGTGCAGAGAACCACCTTCTTCCTGTTGTCTGCAGCCCGGTGCCTACTGGGTTCACTTGATTCCCTCTCAGTTCTTCTCTTGGTCCTGAAACTATGGTCTTGGTCTTGAATCAATTAAAATAATGCAAAAATTTATGCACAAGCGATTTCCATGCATGCAGAGTATGCTCAGGCAGAAATAAAGGCAATGAGCAGGCAGTCTAGGTGTATCTTAATTGCACATATTTGTAAGTGAAAACCATGGTTGGACCACTGCAGAAGATGCCTTCTGGACTTGTTGTAAAAAAGGCTGGAGTTTTTACCCCATCAGAAATGTTGACAAACAGTGCTCATGACCTTGCAATTTACTTCCCATTGCCAAGGTTAAATGCTCCTCTGCCCTTTCAAGCATTCTGCATCCGCGGGCGCCGGGAGACAAAGGGTGCAGTGGACAGGGGACCAATGTTCGACAATAACCCCGGGGTAGCAGAAATCCGGACGGCGGGAGGGCAGCGGCAGTTTCGGAGGGTGAAAAGCCGGACCAAGACCTGCCCCCCCACCGGCTCGCTAAGGCAGCACCCCCCCGCCGCCGGCCCACCCGCGGAGCCGAGCGCACCTCTGCCCCCGCCAGCCCCGCCTCGTGGGGAGGCCGCGCGGGGACTCGGGGGCACGGGTGGGGAGCTCTGCGCTCCTCCGGGCGCTGCCGCCTCCTGTCCTCCCCCCAACCCCCCCCCCCCCCCCCCCAGCCCCGGCCCGGGGCAGGCGGGCGGGGGGCGGCGGGCAGCCGAGCGCGGCGGCCCCCACCCGCGGGGGCAGGCAGCGCCCAGCCCGCCGTGTGACAGCCGGGGGGGGACGCTGCTGCCTCGGCGAGCCCGGCGGCGGCTGCAGCCGGGTGTTTCTCCGCCTGCCTGTGACACAATAACACGGGAAGCGGGGCGGGGGGGGGGCTTGGAGGGGGGGTGGGGTGGTGTGTGGGGGGGGGATCCGAGCCTGCCGAGGGGAAAAGTGACCTGTCCCGCTCAGGTGAGCCGAAGCGGCGGGGGGCGAGGCTGCCGCTGCCCCCCCCCCCCCCCCCCCCTCCACCCCCTGCGAGCGGCTCTCTGCAGGCGCCCCGCGGAGCTGCCGGCGGGGGCAGCGCGGCCGGGGGGTGCGGTGGGTCCCCCACCCCCTGTCCCCCCTCACCCGGCGGTGCTGTGCCCGCAGGCCGGCGGCGATGGAGGAGGGCATGAGCAGCATGCAGCAGAAAGCGGCGGAGCTGGAGCACATGGCCGAGGTCTTGCTCACCGGCGAGCAGCTCCGGTAAGCGGTGCCTTCCCCCCGCTTCGCCGGGGACACGCACCCACGGGGGGGGAGGGAGGGAGGGAGGGCGCTGGAGGAGGTGGGGGGGGGGGGGGTCAGCAGCAGTCCCCCTGAAGGCGAGAGGGGGCTCAGCGGGGCGGAGGGCGAGGGTCAGCGGAGCACCTGCCCGGCTTCCAGCGCGTCCCCGGGCTCCGGCCCCGTTTTCCGCAGCCGGGAGGAAGAGGAGGAGGAGGAAGAGGGGAGGTGGCAGCCGGCGCTGAGAGCCCGGGGAGGTGAGTCACCGCCTCGGGGGTCTTCTGCCCCGGGCACCTTTGCTCGCCGCTGCGTGGGGCGTCTGTGGGAAAGGCTCCCGCGCCGCTGAAGGGATCAAGCGATGCAGCAGCAGAGTCGCGTCTTTAAAGATTAAAAAAAAAAAAAACAAACAAACCAAGAAAACCAAAGAAACCGTCAGCAATAAAGTGTGTCAGCACTCCGGCGAGAACTAAGCGGAGCGCAGGGCACCGCGCCCGCAGGATGCCCGGGTGCGCCGGGCGGTGGCAGCGGTGCGGGGCTGGGACCCCCCGGGGCTGCCCCCTCCTCCCGCGGCTTGGTCCTTCTTTTGCATCAGCTGGTCCCAGCAGATGGAAGGGGATCCCTACTGGCAGTGCCAGCGATAATTAACAGTGCTCTGTGACTGGAGTTGTGTGCAGCACAGAAACATTTAACAAAAACACCTGACTCAGTTAATTTTTATTTCTGGGGCGGATTTAGTGTGCCATCTGTACCTCTGTGCTAAAGAGGGGAAAAAGAAATGTTAAGGCTTTTGGTTTGTTGATGGAATATCTTGTGATTCAGGAAGAAAAATCCTATTATTATGTGTTGTACGTAACTAGAAGGAGATTGTAAAAATGTTTTCCCAATAGTTTGTGACTGATTTGTCTTTGAACTTTTTGGTCAAACACTGCAAAATGATTGCTTGATTTGGGAGGTTCCATCATAGCTGCCAGTACAGATACTGATGTTGTTACCAGCTGCATCCCCATGGTAAGGACCACTGGCA